GTTGTACACATTTCATAGGCTTATGACTTTGTATATGACGGATAGTAAGTTGGAAGGGTCCTACCGAGCCTTGAACATTTCACTATGACATGGGAGTAAGGCATGCAAAAGGCTTGGAACTTTCCGCAATTGCACCAACCTCTATCTAGTTCTACTCGATAGTATCCTCTTGGTCTTCCCTCATTGTGGTCCATTGCCTCATCTACACTGAACCAACCTTTACAGTGGTCAAACACTGTGAGTTAGCTTTGTCAACTTCATCTTTAATGAATTTCATTGAAGTTTCACTGAACAGCTCCCCCGATTATAACACTAAACTTCATTTTGAACGCATGATCTCAAACAGTAACCATAACCTAAAATAGGTTGCTCTCACCAAATCGGTTATTGGTAGGTTTCAAATGCCTTTGAAGACCGAGTTCATTGATTCCAAGAGATTTGTTGTTATGTGGCCCCATCATTGACCATTGTTGAATGCCATGGTCCACTTCTCCAATGGAATATTATCGATCCACCTTACTGCATCTGCATTTGCCAATTTGATCTCTTTGCAGTAGTGTTTGAAGGAAGGTTCGGTTAATGCATACCCTCTGTTCATAACCTTCTTCTATAGCGTCTTGTCTATGATCTCTGGCATAAAAGTCTAAGTGATGTGTCTAATGCAGTAAACATGCGTAGAAGGAGGATCTTGTCAGCCATTATCAAGGTTTTTATAAGCACTCTTAATTGATGAATGTCTATCTGAAATCAAGCATAAGTTAGGATGAGGAGCAACGTGTAATCGGAGATTTTTTAGAAAAACACTCAATCCACCAGCAGTCTCCCTTTCAGCCAAAGCAAAGGTGATGGAAAAAATATTGTTGTTGTCATATTGTGTCACTGCCATGAGTAGCATTCCTCTATATTTTTCATACAACCATGTTCCGTCAATTTGTATAATAGGTTTACAGAAAGAAAAACCTTTGATGCATGGTTCATACGCTTAGAAGAGTCGGTGGAATATTCCATTTCCACTAACACAAGTCCTGTCAGGGGTATATATCGGCAAGGTCTCCAAAATGGCAACAGTCCCTAGAGCATAATGCTTAAGTGCCACCAGGTATTGTGGAAGCTCTTTGTACGAATCCTCCCAATTTCTAAATACTCGTTCAACCGCGTTAGTCTTACCTATCCACGCCTTCTTGTACAAGAGAGTATAATTGTATCATGTAACTATATGCGAGGTTATTGTACTCACCTTCAATGACAGATCCTTGCTAATGATAGACAAAATTTCATTTCATATTAATTGAGAGTTGAGTTTGCGATGATCCTGCATCAGATTGGTGATTATGCAAGTGTGAGTTAGACCTATAAAACCTATCTCCCAAGAATCACTCCTCTTCTAGTAAGATATTGTTTGCTGGAACATGCATAGCACATTACGACACAAGATCTTGTACCTCGTCACATTAGTTCGATTGACAGTATAATCAGCTGAGATTTCCATGTGATACTTTTGAATAGCTCTCACACAATCTTATTTTGTGCGAAACTTGTCTCCCATTTTTAAAGAACCTTTTGTCTGCATATACAGATTGTAAAATATATATGAGGATGGTTCATATGCACCCAAGTTCAAGTTTGTCATGTGTTGAGGCGAACAATATACATGACCGGAAAGTAATGGCTCTTGCTCGTGGTAAACAATGTCACCTTCACCATATAATCAACCAGTATCTCTTCTTCTTTTTCTTTTTCCTTCTAGTCAACAACATCGACTTCGACTTATTCTTCGTCATCAGTTTCACAAAAAACTTGTGACGGATCAATGATCTGAGACAATTGATTTTGTTGTAGTAAAATATATAATTCAATACCGTTGAGCCCAGAATGTTCATGATTGAGAAACATATTTTGAGCATCTTCATCATCTCAGACGTTTAGCTAAAAAAACTTGACTTGGTTGTTGGCAAAAATAACTGGATTTTTGTAGATGACTTGTGCCATCGAACCACATTGCAACTTCTTTTCTATTCTCTTTTTCAAATATGAAAATTTTGATCATCTATTTATTGTAAACTGAGTAACATCAGTATTACGAAAATTAAAATTGGATAAGTCGCATTCAAATGTCTCACCATTGTTGTATTGTGGTGAAAGAGCCATTTTTGTGAAATGCAATGTATTTTGGTGTATTGGTGGTGATAATGTAATGTGAGTTGGTTATAAAACGAATACACATGCATTTAAATAGGATTTCACTATGATGACCAAAAATAACCCATGCGTCATAGGGTATGGCGCATGCTTTATTTTCTTCACGTAGGCGCTATATGCAATGGTTTGTCATGTTTTTGCATGCATGCCACCATGAGTCTAGTTCACATAGGCTGCTAGTTTGCCACGCAGCTTTGCATGCATGAACCAAGAGGTAGTCATTTTGACTAGCGCATGCTTAAAAAAATAACTCATGCCCCATTGGGTATGGCGCATTAGTTGTAGGCTCTGTGCAAAATTGTTTCACGTGAATGCTTTGTCCCATCTATAAATATGACTATATAACTCATCATTTTCATCAAACTTACTCAACGTATACACTTTATCAGCAACAAATGCTCAGAAGCGTTCCAAAGAATTGCCCTATTAACCATGGATGAGACACATCGAGGAACTATCAACAACATTGCAAAGTTTGTAAATTATTATTTTGAATGTATTACAAAAAATTTCGTTAATACTTTTCCTTAATTATTTTTTGTTAGAATCCAAAGAGATTTCTCTGTTGTGTACGTGCAAATGTACCACATGACGAATTTATAGAACTATATTTACAAGCAGTCCGTTTTGGTCATTTACTCAACATGATCTCATACTCTGTTGATTACAAATTTATCATCTTTTTGGTAAAATGATGGAGACCCGAGACACTCACATTTCACCTTTCGTTCGGTGAATGTATGGTCACACTAAAGAACGTGTACACATTGTTGGGTCTACCTATCAAAAGTAGAGTTGTTAATGGTAGAGTTAACCAAGATAATGCAATATGCGAAGAACTTTTGGGAGCCCCTTTGTGTGAAGACACAACAAGGGGTCAAGGTATTAAACTAAAGTATCTTAAACAACATTATTCAATTATAATATTAACCTAAGATTCGATTGAGTATGAAAAAATAATTAAAACTCAATGTTATATTATGATACTATTTGATAATTTTTTATTTCCTAAAACTACTTGTAATACGGTAAAATTATGTATTTACCTTTGTTAAGAAACATAAATTAAGCAGAAACATATAGTTAGGAGTTTAGCTGTTTTGTCTCATCTATATAGCTCTTTGTGTAAAAACGCACAAAAAGGTACTTGTTCGATTTAGTCGTGTGTGTTTTTCTCCAAGTATGGGGTTTGCCGAGAATGTCATCACTCGTCCCTGTCAACGAGAACTACTTCACATTCCCCTCCACAACAAAGTAGGTTTATCTTTTTTTTTTCACTTGCTTACTTTATACTACAACTACCTGTAAATAATTTATTTTCACTCTTTTTGATTTAGGTGGTCTGTTATAGGTATGAAGTACAACAAATGTCACAAACATAATATAATAGACCACATTGGACCAGACGATGTACTACAACTAAACAACTCATTATAATCTTAATTTTATTTTAATATTACCGATTTACAAATCTTCTAATCGTGTATTTTTCGTATACACCATAAGAATCATTGTTTCATTTCCAAAACAATTCAATGTCCCAATTCAACTGACCCCAACCAGGTCGTCAACACGTAACCCAACCAACACGACCCAACTACAACATGGGTACCGAACTCAATTACATCAACGCCTACTATTGGGGAGAATGATCGAAGATTTGTTAGATGACACTAATCTTCCAAGAACCTTGCACCAACCACCTTTGACTTTGCTGAATACTATGAGACCCCAAACACCTCGAGAAAATCGTGAGAGGTATCGAAGGCAAGCGAATGCGCCAGGGTGTGGAACTGGTGGACGTTACGATCGAACAGATCATTAAATTTATATCCAATCATGTGTAACTCTATTTGATATAATAATATTATATATTTTTTATTAAATATTTTGTTTAATATTATTTTATTGTTAGAATAATAAAAAATAAACAAGACAATACAATGGCACATGCTCCTAGAGAATGCATGTATACATACAATGGCAAGACAACACAATGGCGCATGCTCCTAGAAGATGCATGCATACACCATATGCAGTGGCAACACAACATGAATGCTCCTAGAGAATGCATGACATAGCCTATATTTTAAAATTTTCTTTTTTGCATAGTTTTAAAAAAAATCTTTTTTATCAAACAAAATCTACTTTGACTTTTATTTCTAACATTTTGTTTATTATTAGTAGGCATTTTCTTAATATATTTCTAAACTTAAAGTGTAAAATATTAAATTGTTTTGTTTCTTGTTTAAATAATAGAATTTCTCTTCTTTTCTTCACTATTCTCACATTTACTATATGTTTTACTTCAGCTAAGCCAAAGTGTTATATGCTGCTCAGTTTTCCTTTAATAATCCTCGGTTATCCTACAATATCATCTTGAAATGCAAGCACAGACTGCTGCTCATGGGATGGAACTCATTGTGATGAGCACACAAATCATGTCACAAAGAAAATGGAGTCTGGATTGCATAAGTTTGGTTAATTAATTGCAGTTCAAGTTGATCTGATTTGGTTTGGTAAATTGTGGTTCAAATTAAACTGTTTCAAAGATACTTATTTAGTTCACTTACTAAATAGAATGGTTCAAACAATCCCCACAAGGACATGTTTTGGTATAAGAAAGATAATGATGATGATATCCCATAAATTATAGTGACAAACTTGAGTTTCCGAAACAAAAATAAAGAAAAAAAATACAAAACAGCTCTTGCAATCCTCGATATTACTAACGGAATAGCACATCCTCCATTACATCAGGTAAATCAAAATCTGAAACTATAGAGACTCTCAAAACTAGCCTAGTAGAAGAAGCCAAGGACCTTACCACCAACATTCTTTCTCCTAGCCTCTTCGTGATCCATAATGCCAGCAGAGGTAGTCAATACAATATATCCAAACTGCATATTTTGAATTATGAAAAGGTCAGAGAGATAGCATAAATCTCAATGTTTAATCTTGATGATTGCAAGTTAAGGACAACACTTAAATAATTCATCAACCTTAGTACACAAAATCAATCAAGCTGTTGAACTTATGAACAATCTACTCAAACCATACATAAAAATCTCAGCAAAGACATAAACTAATTCTTGTAAACTGCGGAGGGGGGAAAAAAAGCAAAATTTGATTCATTAAACATCTCAAACGTGTTGCATTTAGTCATTTTAATGAAGTTTTAAGGGACACATTTAGACTATGTTTGGTTCCATATCTGAAGCCGCCATAATTTATTACACAAAATCAATCAAGGTGTTGATCTTAGGAACAATCTACTCAAACCATACATAAAAATCTCAGCAAAGACAGAAACTAATCCTTGTAAACTGCGGGGAAAAAAAAGCAATATTTGATTCATGAAACATCTCAAACGTGTAGCATTTAATCATTTTACGAAAGTTTTAATGGACACATTTAGACTATGTTTGGTTCCATATCTCAAATGTGTAGCATTTAATCATTTTACGAAAGTTTTAATGGACACATTTAGACTATGTTTGGTTCCATATCTTAAGTCTCCATAATTGATTCTGGAGGCAAGGTAGTCAAGCACAAAATCATAGGTGGGATCGGACGGTGAAAATCGTAAAACTAGGTTCGTAGCATGGCACTTAAGATCTTACCGAAGGACAAAATGGTATTCTGACATACATATACACACAAAAACCTGAAAATTATAATACATAGACAAAATAACCCTATAAATCACAAAATTCAACCAATTTAATTAATAACTCATAACTATCATTCCATAATTTCACATGTTCAAAAGACCTTGTTCAAAATAAGTAGCTAAAAAACATAAATTTAACAAACAAGTCTAATCATCTAAGATATTATGTACTCCCATATCACGACATATAAAAGACAACTTCAGCACGTAAGATCGTAAGATCTCAAAACCCAGCACTCAATCTTGACCACAAAGTGCACAAAAAGTTTTTTCTTATATCGTAGCACTAAAAGGCAACTTCAGCACGTATGATGTAAGAGGTGTAAATGTGATTTAGAACACGTTTGGTTGCTCTACAGTATAACTGATTTAGCATTCAAAATTTGATTCTTATTTGAAGTTAGGATCAGTAGCCTTGAAATCTAAAAATGATTTTAAGCTTAAATTTATCATTCAACTCGTAAGTGTGTCATTCCATAAATTACTTTACAGTCATCATACACTTTTAAGTAAAATCAATTCATTCCATAATTTACTTTATACTCAACTCACACTTTTAAGTAGATCCAATTCATTCAAAATCAATTTTTATCATCACAGAACCAAACCTGCATTAATAATCTCTCACAAAGACTAGTTTGAGAGATATCTTAGAAATAAGCTCTTAAACATTTCACTCAAAAATGCAATTGGACACACCATACAGAGCCAGATGGCAGATACAAATATATATATAATTATGATTGTTCTAACTAACCTGTCTAGAAGGGAGAAGCCTTTCAGTCCAACCTTCAATCTCTTTGACACTGACATCAAAACGGGGACTAATAACACCGCATTTATTCAGCCTACCGTTCAATTCAACAACAATTTTCCCAGATCTATGGTCATCAACATACTCAAACTCTCCAATATATCCTAAATCATCAACCACCAAAATACATCTAATCAATACAATACCCTAAAAATGGAACCTTGTCACATACAAAATAATATTAACAAAGAATGACCATTGAGAAATACCGTGCTTCTGCATAACGATGAGGAATTTGATGATGACTTTGGAAGATGGTCGAATCATGACTTGACGCTTTCCTCTTTTCTCAGCATTGTACATGCTTTTAAGAGCATCATTCAACACACTCACTCTCACCATGCTTGCAGCTACACAAACGTATACAAAAATCAATTATTAACATAGCTTGCATAAATCATTGCAATGAAACCCTAAACTAAATTGTTAGTTATGTGCAAAACTAATGTAGATCGCGGCGGTGCGCGGCCGTTACAGCGATGGCGGCGCGCATCACTGTCACGGCTGTTTCAGATGCATTTAACGAGAACAAAAATATGGAGAAAGAAACCTGTAGAGTCACAGTAGAAGGAGGAGCGATGGCGAGGAAGAAGAAGGAGGATGAACAAGCAGCGTGCTAGGTTAAACGAGAAGGAAAAAGTCAAACTTTGCTAGGGTTTTGTTTGGTCAAAAACTTTGTTAGGTTAAACCTATATGAATTTGGGCCTTAAAACCTAATCTCTCCGTGGAGAAACGTTGGGCCTAATTCAGTACTAAATGAAATTTTATGACAACTTCTCTTTTCACCAAACGTATTTATAACGCACCATATGAAATTCCACAAATACTCTCTGATTTTAGAGATATATCTTCGGACGCATCTAAAGTTTATTGAACGTTGGAATATTTTGGAGATATATCTTCAGAACAATTTAGAGCATATATCGCGTCAGACACTTTTTCTCCTTCACACTTCTCAAACTCTTCTTTCAACATAAAACTTCAACTTCTTCACAACATCAAATTTAATCAAATAAAGCAAAGAGGAACATCAAACATCATCAATAACATCATTTAAAATCATCAATAATATCATTCAACATCATCAAAACCATAAATTTCAAGTAAATTTTTTAGTTTTCAGATAAATTTTGAGTTTTTGTGTAAATTTGTAGAAACCAATGATTAAGGTTAGAAATGTGTAGGAATCACATGTAACATGGTTTAAACTTAGTATATGACTTGTTTGTTGGATCAAAATGGCAATCAGATTGTGTTTTTTCAACTTGCATGAGTCACATTATGCCATTGCAACGACCTCTGAGTTGCAGAACTTTCCAGAGATACATCTCCAGAATAGTTCAGTGTTTCATATCCTTTGGGAATTTTCGGAGATACATCTCTTAAAATCTTCAGGGTAATATTTTTATGGTGTTTCTAGAGATGTATCTCCGGAATTGTTCAACGTTATTGTTTTATGATCTTTCTGGAGATATATCTCCAGAATATCTCGCAGTCTGTTTTTTTTTCTTGTTTGTTTATGTTGTCTACCTGCACTAACGATACGCCTTAATTTACCTTACATGCATTATGGCTGACAGAGTCGACAGACTGAGACATGGTCGGGTTGCCCAACACGCATCTGTCCAACGGGAGCGGAGGCAGCAGGTACTTCTGGTCAGGCAGAGGTGTCGACTTCTGGGGCGCAATATGCTCCTAAGGCTCGTCGTTCACCTTAGGTCACTCCACATTCATCTCAGGACACTCCATCTTCTTCTTATTCCCATAGGAGACAAGATTTACCAGCTGACGCGTCACTTCCCTTATCGTTCTGCATGCGTTAGGATTCACTAGTGCCACATTCTGTTGATCTAGTGCCACCTTCCGCTAATGATCCTATTGATCTAATGCCACCTCCAGAGGGTGAGGTTGTTAAGGATGTCGAGGTATAGGGATTTGGAGGAGGTTCATCTAATATGTCTCTACTTCCTCTATATCTATACCACACTATCAGACATATCTGGGACGGAGAGGTAGCTTTAGTTGGATTATTTATTTATTTTTTATGTTAATTTAAATTGTTGACATTGATTATTTATAACATTGATTATTACTGTCATTGATTATTTTTGGAAAATTTCAGGTGTGTCTTCCCTAGAAGTTTCTTAACTATGGGAGGAAGATTATTGGCTTAGCTCAGCCGGATGAGGAGTGGTTTCAGTCGGTTCTGGCCTTTTTTGGGTTGAAGGACCTATGCATGATTGGTTACACTCTGGTTAACCACGTGATGCTTAATGCATTTGTGGAGATATGGCATTCTGATACCTCTATCACACTGGAAGATGTCTCATGTTTGTTTCATCTTCTGATCAGGGGCAGATTCCTCTATCATGGTATGACGACCAAAGACGAGGCAGTCGAGATGGTGGTAGAGCATCTGAGGCTGATCCAGGGAAGGCGATTGAGGAGGTAGATAGGACCAGAGATGCTCATGATATGTTTGAGTTCCTGAAGGAGATATATAATGATGAGATCGTTTTTGCATAGGAGGCTAATGGTGATGCTAAGTAGGTGGTGATACATAGGGTTTGTGCTTTGAGGGCATATTTTCTTATTTGGTTGGCACTTGCATTTTTTTGGACACGAGTGACACTTATACTGACGTTGGATAGCTCTGGTGCCTCTTGGATCTCACTCAGATCCATGAGTACACCTGGGGATGACTTGTATGTGCTATCTTTATTTGAAGTGTAGAGATGGATGTCAGTGGAGGACGAAGTAGGTCACAGGCAGCATGACATTATTGATGATAATAATTCTTGATACTTGAATGTTTTTTCATTTTCATTTCATATTTTCAAAACCAATATCGATAAATATTGATCCTTGAATGTTTCTTTTTATTTTCATTTCAGGATTGAATCCTCCAACACTTCTCACGCATCCCTGGCTGGGATGTGTGGATGAGTACACTAAGGACGTGCCTCATGCTTGTGACTTCATCTTGCTGAGAGGGAATCGACGGTCGAGCCTTTCATAGTCTACCTTTATTGTTTGGTTGTTAAGAACATGCACTTCAACAGCTACGTGGATCATCGCCAGACGCGACCATTTGACGATATAACTATATACTTCTGATGGTTGTCTTGCAGATCAAGTATCATTGCTCCTCATTGTAGCACCCAAAATTTGCCCATCCTTATATCATGGCGTATGTTCCATATCATTTTTGCATTGTCATTAGTGCATAGCATTGGTTCTAGACAGGGGATTAAGGTATCTTGTTCAACACTCAAGGGAAGAGCTTCGTCTTCAAAGCTCAGGAAAGGGTTCACTCTCAACTTTGTGGCAATATCAAGTCATGAGGTTCCCTCATCATCAAGACATGTCTCACAACCACTTGAATCAAGCATTCAAGCACTAACCACCTCCTCCTATCTTGTGGGCAACTAGATTAGGGTTTTGGTTCAAAAAGCATCTAGGGCTAGTTCCTTGGGCAAGACATGATTCTAAAGCTCAATATACATCTTGGGGGTCCTCTACATGGATTATGTTTCACCAAAAGCCATCACAAGAGCTTTAATCAATGGGAAAGATGTTAGGGTTTCATCTGGTCAACAAAAGTCAATTGTGGTTCAATGGGGTCAAAATCTTGGATCTCAAGCTCAAACAGGGGTATGCTATGTGTTCACAAGTGATTTCATGTGTTTGGAACAAGAAAAGTCAAGGGGAAACATAAAGTCAGGAGTTTGGTTGGATTAGGGTTTGATTGAAATATTTTTTAAGTATAGAAAACCCTAATTCTAGCCATTTTGCAACTTCTATAACTTTCTCATCCTTGATCCAATGGAAGCAAACTTGTTATCAAATTAAAAAGGACATCATGAACTACAAGTTTGTAGAAGAAAGCAAGTCTAAAAGATTCATAGTTTGAGAGATATGATGGGCTAAAGTTGAGAAAATGGAGGTTTTGACATTCCAATACTTAGAAATTTTTCTAAGTATGGAAATTCAGCTTGAAGTACATGTTTTCAAGCCCATCTTACACAATGATGCAAGCTTCAAATGACTTATCCTTGAACATGAAAGTTGTATAGCATCCTCCAAGATTTCTTTTGAGTACTAGATCATCTCCATCGGTCTCTCCAATTTAGGATTTCAAAGTTGTCAAGATTGGACATGTTTTAGGCATATTTTTTAGGCTACATTCTAAGACCCTTTTCACCAAGTTCTTGACCTTAAATCAATTTCCCTTGAACGTGAAAGTTGAAGATTATTCTCCAAGCTTTCTATACATTACTAGGTCATCTCCATTGGATCAAAACTCCTCAAGATATGTGGCTTCAAAGATGAGGTTTCAATTATCTCAAGGTTCCTAACTTAGAATTTTTTTTGGCAAAATACCATTTTTGGTTCCTTAACTATACCCTTGGGTTCAGAATGGTCCCTTAATTATTTTTAGTGTCAGATTGATCCCTTAAATCTTTAAAACATGTCATGTTGGTCCTTTTTGTCTAATTAGCTACAAATTTAGCGACCAAATTTTGAATTTTTTTGTCGCTAATTAGACGAAAAGGACTAACATGATATTGTCATACCCTAAATTTGTCCTACCCTTTTTTAGTTTTTTTTTTTTTTTGCATTTTTCGATTTTATTTTGATTTTGCATTGCCCGATTAATTTCTTGTTATTTAGACACGTGTCCGCTCGCAATTGGTTGATTTTTCAAAAATTTATCTTTTTGACCAATTAAGGTGTGACACGTGGCTTAACAACATTTTTGTGAATATTATTTTCTTAAAACTTTTTCTTTTTTTGAAATGTTACTAATATTATTTTTAAGTAATTAATATCGTTTTTGTTTTTTAGTTTGTTCTGTATATATTTGTTAATACTCATATAATCTTTATGTTAATATTTGTTAACTAATTAATATTGTTAATAATAGTTATTTAATAGCTATTATATAATTGTTAATTCTTATTTAATTATGATTATTGTTGGATTTGAAAAGAGTTAATTGTTAGTAATGTTGGGATTAAAGAAAATTAAAGAGAAAGGCTACAGGAAAGTGACACGGGGAGGGTAGAGAAATTAAAAGAAAATTAAGAAAAAAGAAAGAGGTTAAGGACATGATAGAATGGGCGGAGGGCCCATGTTGGTGAAGCCCGTTAGGTTTTTTATCTGCTGTATATTTAAAGAGAAGAGAACTTCAGAGTGAAGGAGGAAGAAAACTGTTCATCTCCTAGTATCCGAAATAGCCGCCCAAAACCCTAGGATTTATTGTTCATCTCCTTCGTTTAGCTCAAAAGTGGCGCTGCGAAAATCTTCTTCCATACCCTTCACAGCCGCCTCTCCATCAA